TCTCAGAGACGAGATAATGAAGATATACAGGTCAGATAACCCGCCTGATAAACGATTGTAAGAACAATTCGTATTGCGTAACATAACACAAGTAGTATCAAGAATCGACTTATGTACGTTCTTGATTTGACTACGTATTAAAAATTTTTCTTTTTTTAAGGAATACGATGTCAATATCTCTGTATATAACATATCGTCATCCTTGTCATCATCTTTGACAAAACAAAGATAACAATATGTTTAATTAGTTGATATGATTTATATAGGTCTTAGAAACCTACGGTTAGTGAACGTCGTTGCCCGTAGAAATAGGCAAAAAAGTTGTTAAAAGTAGATTCGCACTAGTATGACAGAGAAAAACAAACAGAAGAATAACCTATTCATCTTATTCCTCAACAAAAATAGGATTTAAAAAAATCTTTTAGTAAGAAATCGATTAGATATAAAAGAAAGTTATAAGCTATTTAAAACCACACTATCACCATAGAGTTAAACAGAAACTAAATTAACCTAAGGGAACATACCCATACTACATGACCTATTTTTTTAGTTTTTTCAACCCATTCCTCCCCTCGGTGACCACTCGTGGTACATGCCAAGACTCCCTTTGGTTTTTACGTAGTAATTCATAATTATAATGATTTTAATCATTTCACAGGCAAAAATTGGAAAATAAAATTTGGCTCACACTCTTCTTTATAGCATAAAACTGCATGTATATTTAAATTACTAGTGAATTATGTATTTAAAAAAAACAAGTAACAAGACTACGTGACTAAAATCTGAACCCCCCCCACTCCGCTCCTGTGACTGATCGTAGTATTTTAAAGAATCCGCTCCCCCCCCCAAACGGGTCACGTAGTATGGGTACGTTCCCTAATCAAGGAATAATTATTTAGTATTTCATTCATTCTGTAATCAGAAATCGATATTCGAAGATTGTATCGGCTATAAACAAGATAATTAGGTAAATAACTTCACTAACGGCTGTCCCATTATTGTTTGCGAGATTACTCATTTTGCGTTACTAATTAGTAATTGGAATTAACCTGACTGATAATAGAAATAAGGAAATTACGCTATGCATATGTATAAAACATAATTCAAATATAATTTGAATAAACGTACTAGCGGTCGCCCGTCACTCCGTTCAGACTATGTTCTTTATGCCAAATTTCATAGAGATCCATCCTTTTTTTTCAGTGAGGAATGCTTTATGCATACTTATGTAGTACGCGGTAGTTATGTGGGATTCCCCTCCATATCGGAGACATACCCACTAAACCTCTCTATTCCTCCAACGCATCGGGACGAGGACGAAGGCACACTTTCGTTCTCGTCCGAGGTCCATAGAGATCCATCCTGCCGTGGTGATAACTTCTAAACAAACATTTATCTAAAAATTTGCATTTATAATATTAGTAATATAAGAATGTTTCCCTATAAACAATTTATATAATAATAGTAATTTTACCGGTAACAAAACGGTAATTACAATTTGGTTCGAATTGTCCCCCATACATACATTTATATTGTATGTCTCTGATGTAAGTATAGGTAAATAGGTTTATTATAAGTGTATTGAAACCGGTTTGAACCGGATTACCTTAGTGAACTTACCGCAATCTAGCTTGCTACAAGCTAATATATGACGTAGAGCAAATATTTTAGCATATGGATGTGAATATCTCTATTAATGCGTGCAATTTCTAGCCGTTGACAATGAAATGCTTATATACAAAAAAAAATAAAAAAAATATTCATCATAACGGAAATACAATCTTACTTTCTTACTTATACTATTATCTTAATAATATTATAAATGCGAATGTTTAGATGGATGGATGGATGTTTGTTTGAAGGTATCTCCAAGAGGGTTGAACGGAACTCAATGAAATTTAACAAACATATAGAACATAGTCTGGAAGAATACATAGGCTACTAATTGTGTTTTTTTATCAATTCCGCGCCGACGGAATCGCTGGCGACCGCTATTGAAATATAAATTGTCACGAATTCCATAGGTCCAAAGTTCAGTTCGCACCTGGGTTATAAAAGAGACTGCGTGACTCAATACCTTGTAGTCCTTCGATTATGTACTAAAAGTACTATAGTACTATAAGTATAGCTCTGTAGGTATTTCTACTGTCGAATTAAAAAACTTTATTCGTATCCTATGTGTTAGTCCAGACTATGTTCTACATCCATGCCAAATTTCATCAAGATTCGTTTAACCGTTCTGCAGATACAGTCAAAGAAACATTGGCATTAATAATATTAGTAAGATTAGCTTTTAGCCGTTACTTTCTGAGAAGCACATTAGATTGTCTTCTTTTTGTGGCTGAACTTTTAGCGCCAAATATGAATTCTCTCTCTCAAATCTACTAAATTTAATAAAAATATGACAAACCGTTTCGGAGAAGTGTAACATTAAGTAACATTGTGACACGAGAATTTTGTACCTTTAAATAATATCGCGGGTATGATTTAGGATCTCTTAAACAAAATTAATTAAATTTTCTCTAATACATGGACTGAATTGCGAAGCTATACTAATGAAGCTTGATCTGTTCGTACACTAAGTTGCAAAATAATGGAGACAGAATACTAGAGGGTCAAGCATATAAAATGTATAGCCACAAGTCCGTGGGCGCTAGTAAAAGATGTAGCAATAAAAATTCAATTTAAACGAGTATTGCTTTGAGCAATTTTCTATTACTTTCACGTCTTAAGTTTTTATGTGAACGTACTAAAATAGAAATTCTATGTCTAGACTAGACGTAGGACGTAGACCCACACAATACATAGTAAATAAACATTAAAAGTAAATTAAAAAAATATTATTTGTGACACTATAATTTTGTAGTGTTCAAGTTTTTTTTTCTAAAAAGAAAGGCAAAAATGAACAGTTTAGTTAATTTAAAATTAGTTTGTGTTGCTAAAAATTAAATCTTACTAATATTATAAATGTAAAAGTTTGTTAAAAGGCTCATGAACGTGTAAACGGATCTCGCCGTTTGTCATATATAGAACATAGTCTGGTAGAAAATGAAGGGGACTAAACATGTTTTTTTGTTATCCTGACCGAACGGAGTTAGAGCGATAGTTAGACTTTAGATCAGTGTTTCCCAAAGTGGACGATAACGCCCCCTTGTGGACGCTGCAGGTCTCAAGTTGCGGGTTATAGTAAACGTTTCGTTTATTCTCCGTTAATATACATATATAGGTCACAATAATTAATTAATTTAATTTGAAGTTATAGTGGTGTTTAAATATGGGGGCGCTAAAAAAAATATTTATTCTCAAAGTGGGCAGTAGACAAAATAAGTTTGGGAACCACTGGTTTAGATCGTAATCATACCAACGGGTGGATCCGGATTGTTGCAATGCCAAAGGCGAAATATTAAATGTCATAGTGCAAGCAAAAAGTTCACATAGCCTAATCAACATTTTTATTAATTTTTTATGATTCTTTAAGATACTGTATATTTTTTTGGAATCTTATATTATGTTCAATAGTTGAGAAACGAATAAGACCTAGATTAAACATTATAAATTATTTATGGAAGTATATTGAATGTTTTTCATCATCATCATCAGCCTATACTAGTCCAGTGCTGGACATAGGCCTCTCCCATGGCACGCAATTGAGCACGATCCTCGGCCACTTTCATCCAGTTCTTGCCAGCTGCCCTACGAAGATCATCGCTCCACCGACTCTGAGGACGTCCTACGCTATGTTTCTATGGGAATGTTTTTTTTTTATTTATTTATATAGGAACGCCAACAAAATATGTTACATACAATATTTACTTAGTACATAGGTTACATGATAAAGAGTAAGCTAAAACATATTTCAATTACAGGCAAACACAACATTCGCGTAAATAAAGAAAGTACTAGAGAGAAAAAAAAACAAACAAATTATAAATAATATTAAACTTACATACATACAAAGAGTTTGAAATCAATACACGGTTACAGTCGATGAATTAATTCAGAAACACATATTTAAATATAAGTAACACAATACAAATATTTATGAAGGAATTAAATCCATACGAATATTATAAATGCGAATGTTTAGATGGATGGATGTTTGGAGGTGTCCGGAACGATACTACGGATCTCGCTGAAGGTTGTCACAGATGTAGAACATAGTCTAGAAGAAGGCTTTTTAAGGAAATATAAAAAAAGTTAATCGACATCACAGGGGACTGATGAGCTGGCAGCAACCTCGGACAAAGTATAGCTATTCAAAGGGGGGACGCTGCCAGTATCTTCGGAATCTTTCCTAAAGGGACTCCTTTTGATAATATATCTTAGTTAATTATTCGTTTTTAG